TCGTAAATATGCCCATACAAACTCTTATAATTCCGCCATGACTGTTATTGCGCAAGATGAACATCTCACAGATGGAGATTAGGCCGCCTGTGCGTACATACAAACAGAGCAGCGCACAGGCGGCCCAAGCTCCAGCTGTGAGATGATCATCTTGCGCAATAACAGTCATGGCGGTATTATAAGAGTTTGTAAGGGAATATTTACGACCACTCTCGTACGTTTTCCACGTACATAAGAAAAGCTTATGTACGTGGAAAACCTCGAAATGGCTTAATTAATTAACATAACTTATGTTAATTTTAGAGGTACATGTATGGTGCTTTTCAAATTCGGCATTCCTTGCTGTGTGGTTAAGAAATTAAAAACAAATTTATCGTAATTGAAGCTATTTCTCGTTTTTGGTCAATAAACAAAAGAAAATTTGTCACATGTTTATCAAAGGGGGTTCCGATTTCTAAAGCAGTCTTACATTTTCGAGTGAAATTCGACGGGAGCCCCACTGATTCGGAAATGAACCTAAACAATAGCATGAACATATGAATGCTTTATGACCCAGGAAACGTAGAGACACACTTAAACTCACGTGAAGTGCAATTAAAATATCGAGAATTTATCTCCTTCTGTTTGATACCCGCAATCTTGTTTGATTCCTCTGCAGTAGCAGGGGCCTAAGTTATTATTAGTGTGTGAATTACATTTTACCCACAGGAGTATATCTAAGGATGGAATTCCTAAGGCGGACGTAAAATTCACAGCGTAAAGTATCGATAGTGCCGCGTAATGAGAATTGGGCGACAGATTTCAACTTAAAAGGTTGAACTGAATTGCTTTTAGCCTTTCTTTTGCCAATAAAACTTTTCAAACCAAATTGTTCCTGTTTGTTATCTTAATTGTTGTCGAACAATTCGTCGAAGCGTAACTGGATTAACTCATTCTTGATCATTCCATCGACTAGCACAATCAACAAAGTGAAGGCGGAAATTAAAAGACATGGCCACCGTGGATACGTTACTAGACTAGTAAACTACTTACCTCACTCAAAAGTAAAGAGTTCGCATATATGGATAGCAAATCCCGCTCCACGAAAATACTTGATCTACGGATGCAATTTTCAAACGTATAAGTAAAATTCACAGCATAAATTAGCGATAGTGCCGCGTAGTGAGATTTGGGGAACAGATTACAACTGAATTGGTTGAACTGAATTAGTTTTGGCTTTTCTTCTACCTCAAACCGGAATTTCTGCTCTTTGTTATCTTAACTGTTTTTGAACAATTCTTCGAAGCGTAACTGGATTAATTCACACCTGTTTATTCTGTCGACTAGCACAATCAACAGAGTGAAAGCGGCAATGAAAAGGCTTGACTATCGTGGATACGTTGCAAGGCTAGTAAACTACTTACCTCAGAAGTAAAAAGTTCGCGAATTAGATTGCAAATCCAGCTCCACGAAAATTACTTGATCGTCAGCGTCGCCAAGGCTGCGGAGTGACGTTTATTATTATTTGTATACAGCTATTTCAATTTACGTTGTCGGATCAAAGCTTCAAGGGTACGGGACAAGACCGAAAGGCGGTATGGGTAGATTAGAATTAATTTTAGGCTTTCGGGGTTGTCGGCGCGAGATGGACATGGACATCGGAGATCTTCGCTGTATGGACGAGGCATTGTTAATTTTGCTGATAATTATTCATTAAGATCCCATATTCCCCTTCGGTCTTGTCTTGTAGGCTTGAAGCTTTGATCCGACAACGTAAATTGAAATAGCTGTATCGATCCCATGAGACACAGCGCCATCAATAATATTAATTATCATATTAAAAAAAAAAACGCGGTAAATTTTTGGAACATATGCCTTAGATGAAAATAAACCCTCTCCAAAGTGGTACCTGATCGAAACTGAGAATTAAAATGTAAGCGGTCAGATAACAAGCGACACACTGTGGAAGTAAGGTGAGGTTTTTTTTTTTGAGAATTTGACGTATTTTTTTATAAGAGTTTGTAAGGGAATATTTACGACCACTCTCGTACGTTTTCCACGTACATAAGAAAGCTTATGTACGTAGAAAACATTGAAATGGCTTAATTAATTAACATAACTTATGTTAATTTTAGAGGTATGGTGCCTTTCAAATTCGGCATTCCTTGCTTTGTGGTTAAGAAATTAAAAACAAATTTTTCGTAATTGAAGCTATTTCTCGTTTTTGGTCGATAAACAAAAGAAAATTTGTCACATGTTTATCAAAGGGGGTTCCGATTTCTAAAGCAGTCTTTCACTTTCGAGTGAAATTCGACGGGAGCCCCACTGATTCGGAAATGAACCTAAACAATAGCATGAATATATGAATGCTTTACGACCCAGGAAACGTAGAGACACACTTAAACTCACGTGAAGTGCAATGAAAATTTCGAGAATTTATCTCCTTCTGTTTGATACCCGCAATCTTGTTTGATTCCTCTGCAGTAGCAGGGGCCAAAGTTATTATTAATGTGTGAATTACATTTTATCCACAGGAGTATATCTAAGGATGGAATTCCTAAGGCGGAAGTAAAATTCACAGTGTTAAGTACCGAGAGTGGCGCGCAATGAGAATTGGGCGACAGATTTTAACTTAAAAGGCTGAACTGAATTGCTTTTAGCCTTTCTTTTGCCAATAAGACTTATCAAACCAATTTGTTCCTGTTTGTTATGTTAATTGTTGTCGAACAATTCGTCGAAGCGTAACTGGATTAACTCATTCTTGATCATTCCATCGACTAGCACAATCAACAAAGTGAAGGCGGAAATTAAAAGACATGCCTTCTGTGGATACGTTACGAGACTAGTAAACCACTTACCTCACGCAAAAGTAAAGAGTTCGCATATATGGATAGCAAATCCCGCTCCACGAAAATATTTGATCTACGGGTGCAATTTTCAAACGTATAAGTAAAATTCTCAGCATAAATTAGCGATAGTGCTGCGTAGTGAGATTTGGGGAACAGATTACAACTTAAAAGGCTGAACTGAATTAGTTTTAGCTTTTCTTCTACCTCAAACCGAATTTTTGCTGTTTGTTATCCTTACTGTTGCCGAACAATTCTTCGAAGTGTAACTGGATTAATTCTCACTTGTTCATTCCTCTGACTAACACAATCAACAGAGTGAAAGAGGCAATTAAAAGACACGACTATCGTGAATACGTTGCAAGGCTAGTAAACTAATTACCTCAGAAGTAAAAAGTTCGCGAATTAGATTGCAAATCCAGCTCCACGAAAATTACTTGATCGTCAGCGTCGCCAAGGCTGCGGAATGACGTTTATTATTATTTGTATATCGATCCCATGAGACACAGCGCCATCAATAATATTAATTATCATATTAAAAAAAAAAACGCGGTAAATTTTTGGAACATATGCCTTAGATGTAAATAAACCCTCTCCAAAGTGGTTCCTGATCGAAACTGAGATTTGAAATGTCATCACAGTACCCTGATAATGATTTCCATGAATTGCAAATTTAATCAGAGAAAACTATACACAATTTGTTTATTTGAGGGTAGTCCAAGACTCAGTGAGGGTTCGGATAAATGTTCGCCGAAGGTAGACCATCCTTGGAAGACAGTAGGGCGTGCCCCCTAGAAAATTTTAAGGTGATTTCCAGCATTTTATGGGATAAGTGTTGGTTTTTTTTGTTTTTTTCTTCATGTCTTTGAAATAGTCTGTTAAACAAGGACCGCGCTTAAATATTTTACAATTCTAATTGAAACAAATTTCATTTGACCTGAGGATAAAAGTAAAGTAACGCAGTGATCCTCGCTGATGCGTTCCTTTTTAAGCAATTGGTGAAAAAAGCCTGAAAGAAATTCACGCTTCGACGGAATTCGAACAGGTTTCCCCTTTCCTGTTTGCACGTGCGCAACCGCGTACTTACATGGCCTGCCACCATTATATCTGATGGAAAATCTCTGGCATGACACAAAAAGCCTTTCTTCTTCCCCCCCCCCCCCCTCCCCCTCACTTGGAATGATTTTAAAATTTTTATTGAGTCACAGTTATCAAAGCAGGTAGTCTTAAAACAATTAACTCTCTATTTCTCATTTTTTCATTTATAATAAAGTAAGGAGGTAAGCTGTCACGCCATCTGCTAATTTGTACTATGTTCCACCTTTTCCGGGACTTCTCTTTAGCTTTTTCTCGTTAATTGAAAGTGAAATTTCGAAACAAGCGAGCCGGCAAGTAGCAACAGAGGAACCAAACAAAGATTTGTAAACATGCAAAGTGCCGTAATTTACGTTATTTTAAAGTGAGCAGGGACGAAAATCCTCACAGAGATAACGAATTGGACTATCCGAGTGTTGACGGTGTTCAAGCTCAGTTAGATTGCAAGATTACGAATGTAATTGAGAAGTGGGGAGAAACACTCGACTTCGTCTCGAAGGTCTCTCTACGGAGCTCCGTACGTCTCCTGTTTCTCCCTAGGGAGCTCTGTACGTCTCCTGTTTCTCCCTAGGGAGCTCCGTACGTCTCCTGTTTCTCCCTAGGGAGCTCCGTACGTCTCCTGTTTCTCCCTAGGGAGCTCCGTACGTCTCGTATTTCTCCTCACACTTTTTTGTGCTCTAGCCGCTTCCTGTGTGCTTAACAACACAACAGAGCACAGCCAAGGCTTCTCTAGATCTTTGAGTCATACCAAGGGACCTGTCATTTTTGTCTCTTGGTTGGGGTGGTTGAAGGATTTCAGAGAATCCTCTCAGCGGGAACTCTTCAGATTTTTTCCTGTCACGCGCAAATGAAAGAAGTTCTTTTACCTCTGTCTCATCCTGATTTATATTGCTGTACTGGATTTACGAATTTTTTCCGTTTGACCGAGGCCCTGCCGTGGGATTTACGCGAGCTGGCCAAGATTTCCAGTTATAATTAGCATTTCACAACCGAATACCTGCATAATATATGCAATTTTTTCCCGCGCTTCCTATGTCTCATGGGATAGCGTGCTTCCGGGTTAATTTTACTGTTGCTATTCATGATCTCAAGTACACATTGTGGCGATGGCATCGAATTTTCACGAGGAACACGCGATCAAGTGAATTGATTTACACCTCCAGATAAGGTGAGAGGGATCGCTAAACAATCTATTATACATTAAGTTATGACATACTTTATGTGACCACCTATTCGGTTCGTCTTGTACGACAGAAGTATCGGCAAAGCAAGTAAGCGAAGGAGCATTCAGTGTAGGGGTTTTTTCAAAATGTGGCGCAAGATTAGTTAGGCTAGCTTATGTACATATGAAGGCTTGTCTTAAAGCATTGCTTCATTTGCAACATAAAAAATGTTTGGACCCAACTAATTTCGTCCTACATTATGTAAAGCGCTCGTTCAAGCCTCCTCGCTTATCTTACAACCCTTAGTATAAAGTCTCAGATATGAGATCTCATCCCCTCAAGTTTCCAGCCAATGTCATCAAACTGCATGCCGTTGAAATTTTACTATCAGTCTTTACGATGCTGGATGCATTTATCCTCAAGTATTTTCTATTATAATTTAACCGCTTATAAGTGATATATCGGTAAGTAAATGTTTTGTGATGGATTGGAATGGAAGTACGAAATTACCGATCAGTTTTATGTATTGCATACCAACTGCTTCGTGAAAATAGGTGAATGTCATCATGTCAATCTGGGTTGAAAAATCGGTAGGAGTTTCGTTTTGCGGTTTGGCATATACTTTTCTGGTTTTAAGATCAAATTTTTGTGCTTCATAGTGAGTGAAATATCCGCTGGGAACAAATTATAATTATAATTAAAATTTTCTTTTCAAGTAGCAGAACACTGAAAAGGAAACCACACATAGCTGGAAACGACACACTCTTGCATCTTATAACCTAGCCTATTGACACACTAGAAAACATGTTTAATTAAACCGGATTTAACTGAATGAAAATCAGAAACGGAGAACTAAAACTAAGTTTTCCATAGGTTTCAAGTAATTGTTAACCTTTATTGTCAATGTGCTGTATGTATAGTTGATTCAAAGTGCTTTAAGGCTGCCTTCTATTAAGAAAAATATTTTAAGCCATGTTTAAATGTTTAACTTCTAAGATATATGGAAGCTTTGTTGTGAATGGGGTGTTGGAGAAACTTCACAGAATTCCAGAACCTTCAATTACTTTTACTGACTGAACAAAATAGAATGAAAATACTGTTTCCCTGGGCTCATGTATTTGCATAAGTTTTTAATAACTAAAAATGAATTTATGGCATTTTGGTTGAATAAACTTTTTTGTGGGAACTGATATTTATGGATCAAGGGCAATCATACAATTCTGAAATCATTTGTAAACCTTTTTACAGGACATTATCTGAATAAGCAAGCTGCCATCATGAAGATAACCTTTTTGACTGAGGAATGGACTCAATCAACCAAAGGCAGTTGTTCCACCTTCATGAGACAGATGGCCATAGAACTCTCTAGACTAGAAAATGTAGAAATTGGTATTTTAATTCCAAGTGCCAGTCCAGAGGATAAAGAAGATGCTGAAAAATACAACATCAAGGTTTTTGAACCTGAGAAACTTACAGGCTATGAACCAGTTAATTGTCTGCAGTTTCCTCCACAAGGATTTAGCACTGACTTTATCATTGGTCAGGGCATTAAGTCTGGATGTCATGGACAGGTCCTTAAGAATAACCTTGGCTGTAAATGGGTGCATGTGGTCCTAAGAAATGCAGAAGAAACAGCAATGTTCCAGAAAACCCCAGGTGCCATTTCCGAAGGGCAAAAACAGCGTGAAACTGAGGTAGAATTGTGTAAAAAGGCTGACATGGTTATGACAGTTGGCTCTAAGCTCAATGAAACCTTTAGTTCTGCTCTGCATCAGTGTAAGAAAGATCATGTTTTCAATCTTATACCTGGCATTTTTGATGAGTTTTCTGGAGAGCAGAAGCAATTCCGAAATTCAAAGAACTTTGAAATCTTACTGTTTGGCAAAGGGAACACTGAAGACTTTGAACTAAAAGGTCTTCATGTTGCTGCCAAAGCTGTGGCACATCTCAATAAGTATGAGCCATCATACATTCTCAAAGTTGTAGGTGCCCCTGAGGGAGAACAAGAGAAACTGGCTGGGAGGTTGGAAGATCTTGGGATCTCTCGTAGTCAACTGATTGTGAGAAGTTTTTACAAAGAAAGAAGAAAACTGGCTCAGCTATTTTTGGAAGTGGATCTTGTTTTGATGCCTTCAGGTACTGAGGCGTTTGGTCTCACAGCTTTAGAGGCATTGTCAGCGGGTGTACCAATCCTTATTACCCATAATTCTGGCTTGGCAGAGGCTCTAGAGGAAGTACCTTTCGGGCGCAGATGCATAGTAGATCAAACAGATGATTGGGCTGACCAAATTAAGCAAGCACGAAAACATCTGAAAACTGGATTAGTAGAGGCAAGCACGCTACGTGACAACTATAAAGACAAATACTGTTGGATGGACCAATGCGCTGCTTTTGTGACAAAGCTTAGGGCCTTGCATTCAGGTAAAAATGTTAACTTTATATGCATTTAACTGAAGTAAAATAATTAAATAAGTACCTAGTAGCTAGTTGGCACAAATCTGTTTATCATTTTGAAATTGGCACCATGATTAGAATTAATATAAGAGTGAAATAATAAAAAAGGTAGACATAAATTAAGGGCTATTTTGATGATATCCGTGCAATTCAGATCATTGCTGATTTCAGTACAATATGTATGTTTCATAGTGCAAAGATGTTTTGATTTTCATGTGCTCAAAGCCACCAAACCTTAAAATGGACATAGAAATTACAACAGATCACAAGCTTGCTACAAAAATATGCAACAAGTACTAATCAGTTACTTACAAGGCCTAACACTGTAGCAGGTTCCACCTCCTTAGTTCCATTGTAATGATATGAGTTGAAGTACAGCTGCACCAACATGTGTTACTCAAGACATGTGGGGCTTAGATGAATGACAGTCACACTGATATTTTGATTAGTTGTCTTCTTGTAATTTGTGCTATTTGTTTATCGACATCTAACAGGACATGCTGAGGAAATGCAACAGGAGTCCCAAGGCAAAAGGCATTCAGCTCAAAAGCGAGTGGCTGGTAATTACTTGCTTGTCTATTTTTTAAACATGCCCTAGTGTTATCAACAAATTGCATCCTTTTAATATTGAGCAAGTACAAAACAATTTAACAAAATCAATATACAAATATTTTTGAACTTTCTTTGAATATCAAAGAACACAATTCCTGGACAATGTCATGTCATAGTCATGACAATTTTCAATGTGAATACCCTAATAGGGGTATTTACATTTTCTGACAGACCCTGCTGAGGATCCGGACCTGTTTGAATCAAATGCAGATTCTTCTTACATATCTGGAAAGCAAAGAAATAGTGACTTAGTTTTAAGATGAAGGAACTGTGTTATTTTACATTTGTTGGAGATCTGTGGATTTTTTCTCGTTAATTGTCCATCAGATTGCTTTTACATCAGTTCCAGGGAAATTTTTATCTTACTTAAGACACTGTTGTTACAAGGTGATCAACAAACTAAGTTGTTACTTATAATTTTAAGGGGCAAAATCCATATGATCATGATTTAAATTCACCTGTGAGAACATTACCCCATTACTCCACAGGGATCACATGGGGTATTGACTAAGCAAGGCTTTAAGTTGCCACTGTTTTGGTTGCCATGGCAATTAGCCAATTTGGCCATTGATTATCTTGTGTTTGCTGGTCGTGAACACAATTCCTGGAAATTATAATGTCATAGTTATGAAATTTACCATGTGAATACCTTAATAGGAGTATCTCCATTTTCTGACAGACCCTGCTAAGGATCCAGACCAGTCTGCATCAAAGACAGATTTTTCTTCTATATCTGGAAAGTAACTCAAAGGTGACTTCCCTATAAAATGAAGGAACAGTGTAACTTTATGTTTGTTGGAAATCTGTGGATATTTTTCATGTTAATTGTCACCCAGATTGCCTCTAAGTGTTTATCTCACTTTAGACACTTTTGTTACAAGGTGATCAGCAAACTAATGTATTAGTTATTTTAATGGGCAAAATCCATATGATGATGATTTAAATTCATCCGTGAGAATTTTACTCCACAGGAATCATTTGTGGTTTTGACTAAGCAAGGCTTTCAGTTGCAACTGTTTTGGTTGCCATGGCAATTGGCCAATTTGGCTATCGATTATCTTGTGTTTGCTGGTCATGCATGGCATGACACTAGGCAGCTGTAACATTCTTTAACCCTTTCACTCCCAAGATCTAATTAGTAATTCTCCTTACCACCTGCCATACAAGTCTTATGATGTTAGTTCAGAGAATTTGGTATTGGATCAACTAATAATCCCATGATTGATATTCTTCTCTATTCTCTTCACCTTCCTACTTGATATTGTATTGATATTGTAAGGAGAAATTCTGTCTTGGTCACTTGTGGGAGTGAAAGGGTTAACAGAGACATAAACAATTTTGCATTATACAATCCTTATTGAAGTACTAGGTTTATAACTGTCACATAGTACTATTATCTCCAAGACATTAAGTGGTATAGTCAGCCGTTTGGTTGATTAGCTGTCTTTGTATGATTTTTGACCAGTTGATGATTTCATCGTCTGCTTCGTTGTCCTGGCCTTCAGGTATGCCGTCCATCTTATCAGTACAAAGGGCTGATAAGATGGACAGTTATATCCCCAACAGACTGTCACAACACAAATTAAATCTGATCAGTTCAATTCAACATAATATATATATGGAAGGCTTGTTCCCAGGACCACCAGACTACAAATCCTGTGTCCTAACCACTTGTTCATCCTGTTTCCACAATATCTGATGGAAAATCTCTGGCACGACCAAAAAAGCCTTTTCTCTACTTACTCCCCCCTCCCCTAAAAAAAATTCACTTGCAGTGAATGATTTTAAAATTGTTACTGAGTCACAGTATGTAACAAGCGAGCTGGTAATCTTAAAATAATTAACTCTCTGTTTGTGTTTATATTCAAGAGGGAGTAGTAACTGATGATGACCTTCAAGCACTTGGCAAAGCTATTGGTGTCAAGTGGGATCGACTGGCACGTCGACTACCTGGAATTAAGGAAGAGGACATAGAAGAAATTGAAGACAGCCGTAAAACTTTGTCTCAAAGGGGATTTCATATGCTGAAACTGTGGAGAACAAACAATGGGAAAGCTGCAGACTATAAGACTTTGTATAATGCATTAGTCCATGAGTTGGTACAGCGGAAAGACTTAGCACAAAAGTATTGTTTAGAATAATAATATCTCATAGATATTGCTCATACCAAAACCTGGCAGTTGGTTTAAATAGAGGCGGCCACTAGGTGGAAAGTAGAGATAACTTTGCTAATTACCAATAAATTCCAGTTGGTTGTTAATTGTAAGAATCTAATGATTAATTAATCCTTGATTTACATCCTTTTATCGATAGCCTTTTTACAACATTATACAACATGTGTTTAGCTAATTTTATCCACGCATTTGATTGGAAGAAAGACGCATAGATGAGGAGAATGTTGAAGCTTCTTTAAAATAAAGTATATATCAAGTACTCTGAGGTTTTTTAATGTAGACAACTATATATACTTTCTTAAAAAATAAAATAAGTGCTTGTTTGGAGCAATTAGGTTAGTGATTATGTGAACATTTTTTAGTGATTGAGGAACGAAACATTTGAAGTCGTTCGTCCTTGGTTATTACAGCTTTAATTTGTTTTTGTAGAAATCGAGAATGACGATATTTTCATTTGGCTAAATCTATATAGTTAACTAGCGTTTCCTTAGCAGCTGACTTTTATGCAATATAATGGAACATTTAGCCCGGTTATGAAATACATGGAGTGCATTTACTTTGAACGTTCAAGGTGTGGTGTTTTAAAACGTGTTTATGCTCCTTACTAACCTTGTGATAGACGAACGCAAAATTGACCATATTTCGCCTGGTCGAGAAAAAATTCACCTTGGACCCAAGCCTCTTCCGCGACAGTGTACCCTCAGCTTTTTGGAAAATTTATCAGATAAAACTGGTACACCAGCAAATTTGATCACCTTCTGGTTTGACATACGCTTAGGCTCAATTCTCTCAATTCCGTGGATTTGACTGCTCTTTGACTTAAGATTTTCGCCCTCGGAAATTACTTTTTGTCAATTCATTTATAATAAAGTTAGGATATAACGCGCGCTGTCATTGATTGAAAGAGCGTGCTCTATCAGAATACAAAACACAAAGCTAAGCTGTTACGCCATCTGCCAAATTGTACTATGTCCGACCTTTACCGGGACTTCTCTCTATCTCTTTTTCGTTAATTAAAAGTGAAATTTGGAAACAAGCGAGCCGGCAAGTAGCAACAGAAGAACCAAACAAAGATTTGTAAACATGTCAAGTGCCGTAATTTAAGTTACTATAACGTGAGATAACGAGTTTCTCTGTACGTCTCCTGTTTCTCCCTATGATTCTTTCGCGCTCTAGCGGCTTCCAGCGTACTTTACAACAGAACAGAGCACAGTCAAGGCTTCTCTAGATATATAAGTCGTGTATAAGTCACGCGCAAATGAAAGAGGTTCTTTTACCTCTGTCACATCCTGCTTTATGTTTCTGTACTGGATTTACGAATTTCTTTCGTTTGATCGAGGCCCTGCTGTGGGATTCATGCGAGCTCTTCCAAAGTTTTCGAGTTACTGAATTATTAGCATTTCACGACAGAGTACCTGCATAATTTATGCAAGTTTTTTCTGTGCTTCCCATGTCTCACGCGATAGCGTGCTTCCGGGTTAAGTTGACTGTTGTCATTATATTCATGACTACAGGTATAGCTTGTGGCGATGTCATCGAGTTTTCACGAGGAACACGCGATCAAGTGAATTGATTAACACCTCCAGATAAGGTGAGAGGGATCGCTGAATAATTGCTGATACATCATACCTCATGAGGCCTCCTATTCCGCTCGCTGCCGCCACGTATTTCATACCGAATGCGAATCATCGATCGCCAGCGATAAAACTCGTTTAAGCTCCATTTTGTACGAAGTGTCGGCTAGGCAAATAAGCGAAGGAGCATTCAATGAACGAGCGGTTAAAATAAAAGAACGTACTTGAGGATAGATGTATCCAGCATCGCAAAGAGCAATACACATGT